GGCAAGGTTGTTTGCGACACAGATTTTGTCTGATGTTTCACAATTTTGTTTGTTGTTTTAGAAGCAGTCGGGTCATTTTCTTAACATCTACAAGGAAAAGACGACTGCAGACCAAAGTGGGCTGCCCCTTCACCTATCCCACCTGTTCCCGCCGACCAGGGCAGGTGCAGTCTATCGTGCAGGTGAGCGCGTGGGTCTCCGCGGGCGGGGTGCGCCCTTCTCCAGCCGCCGCCCCAGGCGAGGGGACCCCGGAGGCGGGGAGTGGCGCGAACTGTCGAGTTTCAGGGGTTGCCCCAGGGCTTCCGCTGTCGTCCATTTGGGGCTTCCAGGACTGAGGCCAGGTCTGGGAGGACCCGCCAGCCCACGGGGGTCCCTGCACCGCGCTATGTGCCCCCTGCCTGCCTTCTGGAAGGAGCCCGGGCCCTCTCCCCCTGCCCCCATTCCCCCCCACTTGCCCCCACTTGCCCCCACGTCCTCTCTACCTCCCCCTTTTTCCTCCCATCTCTCCCCAACTCTCCTCCAGTCCAACACTCTCCCTTTCCCCTGTCCCCTCCCCCAGCCTCCTGTCTGCCCTCCCCAGGGCTCTGCGCTCAGAAGCAGGAGCCGGCCAAGGGAACCGGAAGCTCCGCCTGCCTTTACCGGCTTCCCCGCCCCACCCTCACCCTGGTGTGGGCTGGAATTTGCTTTCTGGAGCGTGTTTCTAGAGGGCTTTGGACCCTGAAAGGTGCCCACACAAGCCTGGAGGATCCTGGAGTCAGGCTCTGCTCCTGCCTTCTACAAACCAAGTTTTCTCCTCTAGAAAAGCAGCTGTGGCTGCTTCCAGAGCCAAAAGGCCGGCACCTGAGATGAGGTACCGCCAGTGCTCAGAGCAGGAGGTGCAGACCCTGGCCAGGGTGCAGGTTTGAGTGATTTGTGTGCTGCAGGGGCAGGAACGGACATCGGGTCACAAAATGACATCTAAGCATTTAATTACCAAGGTGAGGACATCCTTGCCTTTCTTCCATGAGATCGGCCAAAGCTCCCCCTTTCTCCCCTCTTTGAAAGTAAGGCTGGAGTGGGAGATGAGTGAACGTGGGAGTGGGACCTCCAGAAGGGTCTAGAAGGGCCTGGAAGGGTCTGGAAGGGCCTAGGTGGTGGTGTTTCCTGAGTAGACTGGGCAGGGGTGGTGGGGAAGGGGAAGCCGTCTCTGGGTAGCCCTAAATACCGCCCCTCCCCACCCATGCCACTTCAGAACTTCAGCCCTTCTCTGTGAGACCTCCCCTCCAGCCCCCACCCCTGCCCCATTACCATTAAGGAAAAGACGACTGCAGACCAAAGTGGGCTGCCCCTTCACCTATCCCACCTGTTCCCGCCGACCAGGGCAGGTGCAGTCTATCTTTCTGGAGAAAGAGGCAGGCAGAACAGGAGCTGGGGAGGAGCCATCCCCAGCACCAGGCACTCCAGGTGGGGCAGGGGGTGCAGCCTGGTTGGCCAGGGACACAGGGGTCTCTGTCAGTCGTCCCCCACTCAACATCATTTGTGTCTCCTTTTCCCCCGTGGGCTGTGGAAGGATTCTCTGGTGCCCAGGAATGCAGCACAAGAGGTCACCAGGCACCCTGGGCTTTGTCACACAATGGGGAGGCCTCTTGAGACTCAGGGGGCATTATAGGGCCCCTTCCAGTCTCTGGGCATGGCCGGAATGGCCTGGTGGGCTTGTATGAGCTCCACAGTTGGGAACACATACCCTGGAGTTGAGGAGGAGATCCAGAACCATGGAGAAGTTTCCAGAGACAGCTGACTTGTCATCGGGGTGCCAATTCTCCAGGATTCTGGCCTGGCCCCTGTCAGACCCCTTCAGATATGAACTTGACATTGAACTCAGGAAACCATAGGCCCCCAGAAGACTAAGGAAGTCGGGAACCTGAGGACCGCAGGGTGTTCTCTGCAGGACGCAGCAGGAAATATCTCCCCAAAAGCCAGGCCAGGCAGGGCCGTCTGTCACCAAGACCCAGTTTAGCCAGGACGCCTCGGCTCTGCATTGACTGTCTTTGGTGCAGTTCCTCCGCTGAGACCCCACAGCTCCTCCTAAGCACCCAGAGAGGGGGATTCCCAGACTCAGCCTCACGGATCACTGCTTCCTCTCCGAGGAGCTCTGTTCGGCCCCTGCTAACAGAGGGGCTTCGGCCTTTGGCCTTGCAGCGGTTCACTCACTTCCTGCAGGTACAGTGACCGCCTCCCATAGCTAAGGAGGCCCTGGAGCTGGTCCACTTATGCACGCTGTCACTAGGGGCCTCTAAGCTTTTAAAGTCGGTGTTGGGAGGGGTGGCAGGGCAAGGTTGTTTGCGACACAGATTTTGTCTGATGTTTCACAATTTTGTTTGTTGTTTTAGAAGCAGTCGGGTCATTTTCTTAACATCTACAAGGTGTCTGTTTGGAAGGCTCAGTATTCTGACAGTACAGTGGCTTCCCAAGGCACGCGAACTTCCCCACCCTGCCTTGAGCTTTGTCTGAAGCATCTTCTCTAAGATGCAAACCAGGGCTTTGGATTTGACAGGAATTTTGCCTTCAGTTTTGAAAACGGCTGTATTTTGAACAGGCTCAAGTCTCCCCTCCTCATAGGTGCACCCCAAGCCTGTCTTGCCCGGGACAATGTCAGGTGCTGCGTGTCCCAGTGCGGCCATCGTTGCAGCCACGGTCATCCTGCCAGGGCTGCTCTCCCATCCCCTTGAGCGTGTGGGCGAGGCACTAGGCCAGGGCCAGCGGAGGCTCTTGCTGTTGCTGCTGCCAGGGGTCAGTGAGACCTCACCTTTCCTAGGGTCCCTCCTGGAACATTTGGAGGAGCACCAGGTGACAATGGCCATGGCCCCAGGTGGAATGGTGCTGGGGGTCCCATCAAACATCAGGAGTCCTTTCGGTGTTGCCTGAGCCAGAAGCACCCATGAGCTCAGCACAGGATCTGCTTGGGCCCCGGTCACTGGGGCTGGTGGGGGGTCATTATCCACGGGAGAGGCATTGCCAGCCCTACACTCGTCACCCAGGGGGCCAGAAGCTGAGGGCCCACAAGGCTGAGGGCTGGGCCAGGCGGGCTCCTTCACTCCATGTGGCCCACAGCGTGCAACCCCCGCCCTGGGCAGGCATTCCTGCCCCTCCTAGCCGTGATTAGAGCCTGTAGCTCACCCAGACCCTGTCTCTCTTCCATCCCAGCCCCACCCGGGGAGGGAGAGCAGGCGTAGGCTCGGTGGGGGGAGTGCCACTTGAAAGGCACCACTGAGGCTGGAAGGTCACTTCTGTCTTTGAACAAATATTTATAGAGCCAGGGCGGGCAGTGAGCAGGTGCGTGCCCTCTCTGCTTGCGTCTCCTGCCACCTGCTGCCCGGTGGGCAGGCAGCCTGCAGCAGATTATCGCGGGCGTGAGTGACACGGCACAGCGCCAGGTGCTCTGGGAGCCATGTGGAACCATTTGCCTTTCAAGGTCAGATATTCAAATGACAATGGGGCCTTCTGATAAACTCCTCCTAAGCCAAACATATTAAGTGCAGAAATGCATTTGATTCCCTGATGAACCCATTGTCAAGTCCAAAACTCCTAATGAAGCAGTTACTCAGAGTCCATCTGTGTTTATGGAGTGGCGGCTGCCTGCCGGAGTGTCCTGGGCCCTGGACGGTGAGCACAGCACACAGTGGCAGACGGACTGGGGGTGGACAGCGGAGGGGCCTGGGCCCAGTGGAGACTTCCCAGAAGGTCTTCGCCTTTCATGATGTGTTCGAGACCCCTGGGGCAGCCAGATAGGGGGAGGGCACAGTCAAGAGAGGGAGAGACTGCTGCGTCTGAAGTCCAGCAGGAGAGCCGGGGACAGCAGAGACCCAGGGTGGACAGTGGGACTGGCCAAGGAGGGCTTTGCTGCAGGGGAGGGCGGGCTCACCCCCGCTGGGCTCCACGTTCTGGAGAGGGCAGAGGCGCAGGCATCTCCCACATGCTCTCCACCGGGTGCCCCCAGCCAAGCCTCAGGAGCCCACCTGGCCCCACCTGTCCAGTCAGCGGGGCTGGGACTGCCTGGTGCCGGGCTGTGTGCCCCACCAATGACCCACGGCCATCGGTGCATCATGGAGCTGTGTGCTGGTCAGCACTGGCTGCCAAAATGTCACATCCCAAGCCAGTACCGTGTAGGGTGTCCTGCAGGGAGGGTGGCCTGGCAGCCTCGCACTTCCTATTGTGGACACACTGGGGCATGGTGTCCCAGTCGCAGTGTGAACTGTGTTCTAATGGTGGTGATCAAGCACACGGGGCAGCCAGTGGAGTGTGGCCAGGTGCTCTGGGCTCAGCAGGCTGAGCTGGGCTCTGGCCTCGGCTCAGAGAGGTGTTAGGACGCTGGGCAGTGTGCAAGAACCTTACAGGTTACAGCAGGAATTAGGAAGAGGTGACAGTAAAGCACCTGTCTCAGCTCTGCTCCACATAGGAAATGCAAAATACATGGAAATGGAGCCTCTTACGGGGGGTCTTACCTGTGTGGGGCCCCCCAACCCCCGCTCTCCAGGGAGCTGCCCCATCCCCCGTGCATGTGCCAAGGCAATGGTCACTGGCACTGAACTCACAGGATTAATCTTCCTCTTGGTGCCTTTGTGCCCCTAGTCCTGGAGACTTCTGTGTCCCAGAGTCGGTGCACAATTTTGTGAGTGAACAAGTCAGAGATCGGCTAGGTCCTGGCCTCCGCCCGGCAGCACACACTCAAAAGCCGTGCCCCCTCCGTCCCTCAATCAACCTCCATGGCCAGAGCCGCCGGCCCACTGCTCTGATGCCACCTAGGAAGGGAAACACATCCTAACAGAGGCTTCAGAGCATCTGGCCGGCATTGCTGATAAGACCAAGGAAGGAGCCCTGAAGGCAACAGCCACCGCCGCTCCCCTACCTGGGAGCCAGGCTCAGAGCACCCACCCCAATTCCTGGTAGGCCAGCCCTGTGTGGCCTGGACATCCCCTAGGGTCACGTCGGCTCCCATCTGCAGGGTGCCCAGCGATGACCCAGGCATCTGAATGTGGGCAGCACACTGGCCCAGGCCCCACGGTCAGGGTCAGCCTGTGACCCTTGTCTGTCTGCCCAGTGGCTGCTGCACGCCAGAGGTCTTGCCAGGGGACTGGCTTGTTCATCTGATCAACCGGTCCTGCTAAGAGGTGCAGGCAGCCCAGGCTTCCTGAGTGGGAGGTGGGAGCAAGGAGCTGGCCTTGTTCCATCTGAAAGCAGCCAGGGCTCCTCCCTTTCCAAGGTCCTTGTCTCAGGCCTGGAATCACCAGCATGGCCAGCTCCAAGCTGATGACTTCCCCTTCATGCAGGGGCACGTGT